TTACTCCCAACTTAATATAAAACTATGCATATTGTACAATATTTACAGGTTGATGTTTTGGTCTGAGATTGGCAGCCGCCCTCAAATTGAGCGGTCTGGGATGGATGGTTCAAAGAGAAAGATGGTGGTGAGCCGAGGTCTGAGCTGGCCTGTCAGTTTGGCCTGTGACCTCTTGGACAACCGGATATACTGGGCAGACGAGAAGCTGCGCTGCATTGGCTCAGCCTCTCTGGATGGCGATAATGTCAAGGTAAAATGTATTAATGATGAACCTCAAAGCATGTGGGATTCTCATTGTTTAGTGATATTTCAGATGTGAGTACAGCTTGTATTTCAGCCGTTCTCCGTTCTTATGAAATGGCCATGCCCTTCTCTCACTAGATCCTTCAATTAGTTGAAACACCAAGCCCTTTCTCTGTAGTGGTCTTCAATGACAGAGTCTTCTGGTCTGACACCAAGAGAAGAACCATCCGTTCAGCCGATAAGAACACTGGGAAAGATCAGAAGGTTCTTGTCAAGAGACCAGGACAACCATTTGGACTGAAAGTGAGTCTTTACCTTCTAATAGTGTTGAATCATTCCAGAGTTGAATCACTTAAAGTGGCATAGGATTTGAAATTTCTAGGTTTCAGGAAAACATTTTCCACTTACTGCTAAAATGAGTAGTCTTTCTGTTTTTAAAAAACATACTACGGGAATTCACAGCTATGAACCTTGATCTCCATGTTTTTTCTCTCTCCAGCTGATGCATCCCCTTTCCCAACCGGCCATATCCAACCCCTGTGACAAGCTACACTGCTCCCATCTCTGCCTCCTGGCCCCTGCGGTGAGGGCTAGGTCTGGGGCACTGGGAACATCAGGAGCTTCTGTGGGGAAGGAGCTTACAGCAGTTTGTCGCTGTCCAAAGGGGTTGCTACTTTCTGAGGACAAACTCACCTGCTCTCTGCCTACGGAGTCGACTTCCATCCTGCTCTTGTCTCATACAACAGTATATCAGGTGTGTTGTAGTGTTGATGCCAAGACATCTAAGAAACAAAAATGAGAAATCACATTCTGCTTTAATCTATTTAATTAAAACACTTGTGCTTTTATCTCCATTTGTCTCTCACTCTTGCTTCCTCTTATTACTCTGCAATCCTGCTACTTGTAGATTTACTTGCGCTCCATGCATGAAGATGGTGTTGCCTTGAAGAAAATGCCAATCAACCGAGCTTTAGCCCTTCCTGGAGTAACTGAGGCCACGGCACTGGATGTGTCCATCCAGGAGCTTTATCTTTATGTTGCTGATGCAGGACAAGGATCTGTGAATGTACTGAAACTGGGCAACCCCAGGTCAAGACAGGGACTGACACCTGTTGGGAAAATCTTGCAACTAAAGGTAGGTATAATATTTAACCTTTCAAAGTAAATGGCCAGTTATTAAATCATAGAAAATGCCATTTAAGACCTTTCAAATGTTTGCGGTTTTTAGGACATTCATAATTCCAGGTGGTTTTTAATAATTGCAAACTTAATGTTTTGCTCTGCTCATTCAGACCTGCACCAGTTCTTAAATTGATCAGCTAAAAAATATAATTTAAGTTTTTAAGTGGAAGGTTGGTTATTGCAATATTGATTAAAAAGTCTTGGAAAAAGTACACTTTCAGATAATTCATTACACTTTCAGGCCAGTGGTTCTGCAGTATATAATGTCATTATCTGGTGAAATTTTAATTGTGCAAAGTTTCTGCCCGACAAGGATGATTCAGTCACGGCTTTGGCAGTTGACTGGGTGACTTCCAACCTCTACTGGAGCAGCACTCAGAGACCTGATCTCCATGTGACCTCCCATCATGATGGCTACACCACCTTACTGCTGCAGGGGTCCCTGAAGGTGAAGTAGGCTTGATTGGGCCAATTGTTTTCTGCTCATCCATGTTTCCATGGCTCCTTCCTCTCTACATAAAACTCCCTTTACTGCAACCCTGACTACAACTTATCTCAACCCTGAGCTGCAGTTTCTTACCACTTCTGTCGACAACCCTGATATTATACTGGTCTTGATGTAAGCTATGCAGGAACATTAAAATAAGTCGGGGCATTTTTGCATGTACCAGCTCACAAATAAAGCAGCTCCTTTCAATTGCCCTGAACTTGCAAATGCTTCATAACTTAATTTTGTGCTATGACATTTACTGTATCTGCCATGGCCTATTTTTAAATAAGACTTTTTTTTTTTTTTTTGGTTTAGGGCACCACATCCATTGCATTGCACCCCCCTTCAGGTTTACTTTGCTACACAGCAATAGTCATGGCAGGTGGGAAGAGCCAGACAGAAGTGAGCTGCGCTTGGATGGATGGCCGTAACAAAGCGGTGCTTTGGAGGAAATCTAGCAGCCCCACCTCGTTGGCCTTGTTAAATGAAGGAACTGTCATCTGCTGGGCCGACACAAGTGAGGAGTTGATCTCCATATAAACAAGCTTTGCTGTCTTGTTTCTGCCTGTTGATGTGCACCGGTCTAATTACTTTCTTGCTAGGTGAAGGAGTCATCAACTCGATTGGAGTGGATGGATCAGGTTACAAGCAGTACAAAACGGGGCCAGGTCTGCTTGTCTCCTTCACATATATTGAAAAAATGTTCCTCTGGGTCACCCTGGACAAAGGTAAGGATGGATTTTCTTTGTTTAAAATCTTTATTTTGCTCTGTAAATACAGGATGTTACTACCATCCAATCCAGTAGCTGCAGTAGTAACTTTTTTGGGGGGGTCAAAATGTTTATTGTGGTTATGTCCAACCTCCTGTAGATGTAACTAAACTGTGGTTTGGCGATGGTCTCCAGCCTAAACAACTGTGGTTTGAGACAAAAACCAGTGTTGTGGAAGTCAAAGGATGGATTAATGACATCCCGTCTGGTAGGTTGTGTGTGTGTGTGTGTGTCTCAACATGTCAGCAAAGTGCCTTAAATGTTAGACATGAAATCAGTATAGCAATAAAATGTGAAATGTTAAATAAAATAAAATGCACAAACAAATCCTAATTAAATGCCAGATTAATCGGGCATGATTTTGCTTTAAAGCAACAAGTGTATCAACCACCTTGAGATGGTTTGGGGCCTTCATAACAAATGTCAAAGTAAACATGTACAGCAAATCTTGCAAAACACAAAAAAACAGTTTTAACTGAAAAACCCCCCCCCCCCTTTTTTTTTTTTTATTTTATAAACAAAACATACTTGCCGGGTTCTGGCATGGGAAGCATGGCCCAAATGGAGACCGGCTGACACAGCAGGATGATTAAGTACAGTTACATGGTCCGTCAAGTCAGAGGAGCAGGTAGTCAGTTAAGCAACTGCAATGGAAAAAATGTAGTTGGGAAGGCAACAGCTTTCAGGCATGTAAATGGTAAACAAGTATAAAGAAATATGCAGGGATGACTTTTAAACCTGTAGCAAGCAATTTTAGTCTGGCAAAAAGTCAGTCTCTAATGTATACTAAGATTTGCAGACATGTGATGCCAACAGAGTCCACCAGGGGGTACTCGATCGTGGCAATTAGAGGGCAGGTGACATGGTTCCAGACAGAATGGAAATGCAACGAGTCTGAAGAGAGTGACAGAGGTATCAGTGACACAAACTGATGAAACCACAAGTGAGATATTTAGTATAAAGAAAGAGCAGAACCCTTTGAATCGAAGTGCAAAAAGATACTGACAGAATGACTAATGGCAAAAACATGGCTGGTTTCTCCAGGTATAGAACAGGGAGCCCAGTTTGTAGGTTTCAAGCTCGTATGCAATTTGAACAAAGGTTTCTGAAATTGGTTTGGGCTAAATCCTGCTTCACTTCAGAGGTAGTTCCTAAACTTTTGGTTCATTTTAAAACTGAAGTTTAATCAACTGGATTTGTTAGGATCTTGTTTCTTTGCAATGGCAGAGTGTTTGCTTTGAGGGAGGCTCTTCCAGAGATGCTGGCTCAATCAAAAGGAATAGCAGGATGTAATGCAATGTTTAAATAGTAGCATTAATTGTTTTACTCTCAGCTGGTTTGCTGCAACTGTTATGTGCATATTCTTCTAGACTAAAAACAAATTGTTTGGCTGGTAAAATTTTGAAAGTGACTCTTTGCAATGCTGCATATTAACTCCTGCCCTGGATTATAATGCCTGCCACCAGGCTTTCAGCACCCAGAAGCACAGCAAGTCAGTGTGGCAGACTAAATCACTGGTTCTGTTTGAGTTGACTAGATGGCAGTGATGAGATACCCGGTGGGGGAATGGGGCTTGACCAGCTTTGAGAGAGCTGTGTGCTGCACTGGGAAAGGGCAATAATGAAGAGAGTGCCAACATGCACACTTTTTTTACTTGACCTGTTGCACACGCTAAAAGTATAAAAATTCAAAAAGCTTTAGTGCTTTGATAAACTGTTAAACTATGCAAATACAAATTAAAATTTAGTTTCTAAAAACCACTGGAAGTCCATGGTATGGATTTTTTCACTACACAGACTCTAAACTGATTACATTTCACTTTATTAGGAACGGCACTGAATTTTAGCTTTGTTTTTAAACATCTGTCAAATCTGTACGGGAAAGCATGAACTGAGACATTGATTTTATGATTCTAAAACTACATTTTGAACATTTCCTTCAGAAACCAACAGCTGCTCCAACAACAACGGCGGATGTCCCCATCTGTGTCTTCCGTATCCCCAAGGGCGGACATGTGTATGTGGGCGGGGTTTTTACAAAGTCAATGCCACTTCCTGTGTCCATCTGCCTGCCTGCCCTGCTGGGAAAGATTCCTGCTTTGATGGAAGCAAGTGCATTAGCAGCAGCAAATTCTGTGACGGGCATGTGGACTGTCTAGACCAGTCAGATGAACAGGAATGTGAGTCTTCTGCCAAATGAGGAAGAAATTGAGAAGTGGCATTAAGTCGTCTGTTTTCAGGAACTTGAAATTTGTTTACTGGGGGTACGCAGGTACATTTGAATGAAGTGTTCTTAATTTCCAGGTGTATAATAATGATTTGACCTGTTCTTCAGGTTCAAAGACAAACTTGGCCTCTTTTGGGACCAAAGCCAGTGAAGGCTTCCCTCGCCAGTTTTCCTCCACTCCTCACCCAAAGGCTGAAGAGAACTCTGGTCTTTCAATTAAAAAAGACTCTACACCTTGTGATCTCCAACACTGCAATGGTCATGGCCACTGCATCACAGAAAATGAAGTCATTCACTGCCATTGTGTGGCTGGGTACAAAGGAGAGTTCTGTCAAGAGACGGAGCATGGAGAAAGTCACGTGGTTGCCATCCTGGGTGTCTTATGCCTCCTTGCTGTTTTGATGGGTGCTGCTTTCATTTTTGCTAAAAGGTATTGACTGTAATGAAGAGTTAAGTGTGAGGTGGCCAGAGATGCGTCCAGCCAGATACTGTTAGCAGCTGATTTCACTAATTCACACTTGCAAGTCAGTGGCATCAAACTAAGAAGTCAGTTGCTAAAGTGTTTGGTTGGAGTTGGGTACTCTTGGACATCTACACCACTTCAGAACAATTTTGTGCTACAAAACAAAATGCATATTTGGTTTCTGTAACTTTGTTTTAACAGCCGAGCCTGGGAGTTGATCAGAAACCGGTCCGGAGATAAGGAAACACTGATGGGCAACATGGGCCTGCCAGAGGGACACAGTGATTCAGACTCTGAGGTGAAGCCTCGCTGTGTCTAAATTATTTGCATAAATGAGCAGGTATTTTTAGAGTATGAAACATTGACTGACTTGCCTACTAAGCCAGGTGGAGGTGGTTAATTTGACTCCTGAAATATGTGAGCAATATGTTATCAGTTGTAAGCTAAACAGTATTTAGTGTGAATGTTTTTGATTATTAGTGAATGTTTGATACAAATTTATGAAGTAATCAATGGTGTCTTGAACTGTCACACGTCTCAAGAGTTCTACATCTTTTCACGTATATTTTCAGATGGGCCTCTGTTTTGCCTTTAAGTACACATGGTTTCAGTTCATTTTCAGTTGTTGATATTAAGAGATTTCTTTTCTCTCTTCCTCAGGAGCTGGAGTCTCCAGCAGATGTGACGAGCACCCCACTTGCATTAACATCACTATAGCTTGAATAGACCCCTACATTTGCTAATATGTTTGGCTTGTTTCATGATAACTCAGAGTGGAGTGTATTTCAACAGCCACTAAGTTTTTGTAATAAACATGATGCAAGATTAACCAAAAGCCAGGCTCGGATGTGGTGTTTTTCTGTTTTTAAAAAAAACAAAAAACATTGAGGTTGGTCACAAACTGCTGCTCTCACTTGAGGACAGATTTTCTGACTTTTCCAGATCACTTTAATACACTGGGTAGCCCTGCTAACTTGCACAGTAGGTTTGTATTCATAGCATTGGCTGTGTTGCAGTATATTCTTGAGAATAACTAGAAAAAGTTTGAAAAGCTTATTTGCTTTCTTTATGAGTGGGATGAGGCTAATGGTATCATTCTCCTTCCTGTACATTAAACACTGAGCTGCATGGACACAGTTAGCCCAGCTTTATCGTAAATCAAGTTCCTATATCGATCTCAAACGAAAGCCAAAAAGCTTGAGCTTGTTGAACCACTCTTTTTTTAACACCCAGTGTCTGGGAACTCTTTCCTGGCAAACAAAAGTGTTTACCCTGGATGTTAATGAAGGAGAACAGTCTAATGAGCATTAGCAATGATGGTAACCAACACATTCATCAACATAAAATCCAAAGAATAAGAGTATTTTGTCCTGACTGTATAAATAAATCATGACTTGTGAATAAAAGTCATGGTACTAAAAATGATGCACCTTTAACAGAGACCTGTGAGAGAGTCTTTGGAATGTGTTTACTCCGTGGTGCTTTATGTTCACACACGAACAGCTGTGGTCACCTGTTTAGAGCAATACCTATGATATCAACTCAAGATGTGAAACTTGACAAAGCCTATGGTTTTTGTTTGTTGTGAGCAGGGGAATTATGGAAGCAAAACATGGCTACAGCAATGCTGTGTAATGTGAAGAAATGCCCGTTATATCTGAGGTAAGGAAATGGCTGGAAACATTCTAAGGGTTTTACATTTTGGAAATGTATATTATCTGGAAGTAGCTAGGATTCAATTCTGTTTTATTTGTATGGTGCCAAATCACGACAAAAGCGATCTCAGAACACTTTATAAAGTAAGGTCTAGACCTTACTATTATTTTTATTATTATTATAGAGAACAACTGAACAAATCCCCCTTGAGAAAGCACTTGGAGACTGTGGGGAGGAAAAACTCCCTTTAACTGAAGAAACCTGACAGACTTGCCTGCAAAGTGAGCTCACAGTGCAGTTTAAAAGGGAATCTCTTAAAAGTGGAGTCTGGCCTACTGTTCTAATGTGAGGCTGACCTTTGACTGTGGTCTGATCAGAAACTCTAATACTGAACTGTCTCAGCTGTAGTTAATATATCTTGATGATAAATATCTGTCTCCTTTAGACCTGTGCGGCATCTATAAAAACATGTTGGGCCAGAGAGGTGTGTACAACTGCATACGTTAGTCAATTTGACTTTGCTTCATACCTGAGAAAGTAAATAACTATAAATATCACTGAGTAGCTTAACATTATGCAATTTCTGCCTGGAGTGAACTCCCCTATTTTGAGTAAAGTGTGTAATGCAACATACAGTATTGTTCAAAATAATAGCAGTACAATGTGACTAACCAGAATAATCCAGGTTTTTAGTATATTTTTTATTGCTACATGGCAAACAAGTTACCAGTAGGTGCAGTAGATTCTCAGAAAGCAAACAAGACCCAGCATTCATGATATGCACGCTCTTAAGGCTGTGCAATTGGGCAATTAGTTGAAAGGGGTGTGTTCAAAAAAATAGCAGTGTCTGCCGTTGACTGTACAAACACAAAACTATTTTGTACAAACGTTTTTGTTTCTAGGATTTAGCAATCCTGTGAATCACTAAACTAATATTTAGTTGTATGACCACAGTTTTTTATAACTGCTTCACATCTGTGTGGCATGGAGTCAACCAACTTGTGGCACCTTTCAGCTGTTATTCCACTCCATGATTCTTTAACAACATTCCACAATTCATTTACATTTCTTGGTTTTGCTTCAGAAACAGCATTTTTGATATCACCCCACAAGTTCTCGATTGGATTAAGGTCCGGGGATTGGGCTGGCCACTCCATAACATTAATTTTGTTGGTTTGGAACCAAGACTTTGCTCGTTTACTAGTGTGTTTGGGGTCATTGTCTTGTTGAAACAACCATTTCAAGGGCATGTCCTCTTCAGCATAAGGCAACATGACCTCTTCAAGTATTTTGACATATGCAAACTGATCCATGATCCCTGGTATGCGATAAATAGGCCCAACACCATAGTAGGAGAAACATGCCCATATCATGATGCTTGCACCACCATGCTTCACTGTCTTCACTGTGTACTGTGGCTTGAATTCAGAGTTTGGGGGTCGTCTCACAAACTGTCTGTAGCCCTTGGACCCAAAAAGAACAATTTTACTCTCATCAGTCCACAAAATGTTCCTCCATTTCTCTTTAGGCCAGTTGATTTGTTCTTTGGCAAATTGTAACCTCTTCTGCACGTGCCTTTTTTTTAACAGAGGGACTTTGCGGGGGATTCTTGAAAATAGATTAGCTTCACACAGACGTCTTCTAACTGTCACAGTACTTACAGGTAACTCCAGACTGTCTTTGATCATCCTGGAGCTGATCATTGGCTGGGCCTTTGCCATTCTGGTTATTCTTCGATCCATTTTGATGGTTGTCTTCCGTTTTCTTCCACGTCTCTCTGGTTTTGCTCTCCATTTTAAGGCATTGGAGATCATTTTAGCTGAACAGCCTATAATTTTTTGCACCTCTTTATAGGTTTTCCCCTCTCCAATCAACTTTTTAATCAAAGTACGCTGTTCTTCTGAACAATGTCTTGAACGACCCATTTTCCTCAGGCTTTCAAATGCATGTTCAACAAGTGCTGGCTTCATCCTTAAATAGGGGCCACCTGATTCACACCTGTTATTTCACAAAATTGATGACCTCGCTAAAAATATATTGATATTGGCAAGGGTTAGATATATGCTGGACGTGAAAGCACTTTGCATTTTGTATTCTTCATTGATTTTGCCATATTTGGAGTATGGCATTGAAAACTGGGGAAACACAAAAGTTCACTTCAACCATTGTACATATTACAGAAGAGAGCGATAAGAGTTGTGCATAAGATGGGGTATAGGGATCACACCAATGTAGCTTTCATACAGTCTAAATTGTTAAAATTCTTTGATTTAGTGGAATATAAGACTGCTGTGTTTATGTATAAAGCCAGGAACGACTTATTACCTGGTGGAATCCAAAAGTTATTTGATGAAAGGGAAGGAGGATATAACTTAAGGGGTCACTTAAATCTAAAAGTTCATGCTATACGTACAACCAAAAAAAGATTTTGTATTTCTATAAGTGGGGTCAAATTATGGAATAATTTAAGTGTGGACATGAAAAATAGTACTAGAATTGAGGAGTTTAAATATAAATATAAATGTATGTGTCATTCAAGATATATGCAAGAATAAGATTTATTCGAGAAGGCATTAAGGAAACACTCTGTTTTAATGTTCTGTGTATTACTTGTTGGTGAAGAAGGCAATTACCTATGTAGAGATACTGCTTGCAGCCAATGATGCATGAAATTTTTTGTATAAGATGATGTTATGGGGTAGGACTGGATAAGTCTGACTTCTTCCTACTCCATTCAAACATGTAATAGGTGTAAGCAAACTGATTTTGGATTAGCATTGGTTGGGTATGTGTAACTATGTGTGTGTTGTTGTCATTTGTTCTGTTTTGCATGTTTGAAAGAATAAATCAACTCAACAATACTGTAAATGGAGGTAGAGTTGGCTATGCACATAAGTCATATTTTACTGTAATAGAATCAAACTCCTTACAAAGCTGATTTGGATATGGTTACTGGAAATGTTAAAGTATTTTCTTTGTAATATTTATAAACATGGCAAAACTTGTCAAGTTGCATAAAATCAGTTTTTGTAAAATTTGCCTGAATAATAAAGCACAAATATATATTTTCTCACAGTTGCACAGTAGGCATATGGACTGCTGAATGTTAGACTGTCAGTCTTGTTGGGTCTTGCCAGCTGAGTCTTGTTCAAACATTTGCAATTCCTCTGGTAAACACACCTACTTGTGTGTGAACATATGTTTATAATAAGCGTCCAGTTTTCAGGAAAGATGAGGCATATATGATCAAATTAATGCCATATGCAACCTTTATACACATCTTTCTTAATCTTTCATTTTCTGTCCCATTCTATTTTATGTATTTTTTGACGGCCCATGGACCACTGTCTGAAAAGTGCCACACAAATGAATTTTACTTTGACCAGAAAATTGAGTTTTATGAGTCAGAGATTAACTGAAGTCTTTCATTAACTTGCACTCTCCTGATTAAAAGTGGCACTGTCACTGTCAGATATATCTGGTGTGAACAAAGTGCTGATGACTCAGCCTATTTAGAGTTAGAGGGAGGAGGAGAAGGAAGTAATTGTGTGTGTGTTCATGGAGAAAAACAGGCAGGTACTAAGAGATCACACCTATGTTCCTCTTCCCTTCTTTTGTTGCAGATCCACTAACCGAAAACTTTAAAGTGCTTTAAAGGACCCGGGACCTTTAGCACAGGCGCACAGACAGCGCTACAACAAAAAACTGAACAATCACAGCCTTAATTTTAGGACACCAGGACTGTTTCGGTGAGTGTTTAGCTCTCATTTTGTCGTGTTTTGATTTTGTTGTATCTCTCTCTTTCACTATATGCCTGCCCTGAAGCCAGTGAGCAACACAAACCTTCTGTGTTGCTATCAGTTAACCTGCACTGTTGTAGAGCTTTGAATAATGGCTCAGCTTTTCTCTTAAGTCTCCTCAGTGGCTTTTCCTCACCCTAATACACTCACTGGCCACTTTATTAGGTACACTTGTACAATTGTATGCAACTCTATGCAATACTTCTCTCTAAACATCTGTGTTGATGAAGCATGTTTCAGTTTTTGGTGAAATTGTCATAAATGTATACATTTAGAGGTGTGTCTGTTTTTGTCTTTCCCAGCTGCATATATAGGAGGGCCAGAATATTAGGAACACCTCTGAATGTAATGTAATGCTTGGTTTCATTTATGTGTTGAG